GGGGGGGGGGGGGGTGCAAAATTCTGCCTCGTCACAACATTTATCTGTGTTATAAGATCTATCTGTGTTATAAGACTTGAAGAAACTATCAGATGCCTCCTGCAGGCATGCCGAAATGTAGTTCGATCTGCTTGTTTACTAACAAATTTATCATTATTGTTCCATTTTTTTCGTTTAGACACCGAAGAGGTGGAGAAAAAATTGGCTTTACTTCTGGATGAAGGGTCTAAAATGCCAGCAGATAAAGAATTCTTAACAATTGAGGTACCTGATTACTTCGATGAAAAAAAATTCCAATTGGGTCAAGATGTCTTCAAGAAAAATATATTTACCATGATGATTGCCAAGTTGTCAGGGTTATTGGTATTACTGGCTGTACCTTCAGTTCTTGATATTCTCTGTTTTACCAAACAGAGTGGAACTCCATGTGCTGCATTTCGTCGATATGCTGCTACTATATTACATACATGCATTTGGTATAGGAGTATACCAAATCAAGATGTTGAGTAAGTGAATTTATTGCTAAATATTTCAAAAACTTAATGAATGATGTACACTAAAGGTTGAAATGAAACAATAAACTGTGTCATAAAATAACACTTGTAATAAAACTTCAGCCCATATAATGGGGTCAATCAGAAACTGTTTTCTACAATTTTGTAGTGAACTCATTAGTGTCGGAAATTTTTACAAAATACAGCAGCAACAATAATCTATCATCATCCTATTAGAAAAAGCAGAGCACTGTCATGGCGCCCACCACAAGTGTCATGGCGCAATGCTCATGGGGCATTGTGCATTTATTCAGGGTGAATCCACACGAGCAGTTCCATGAGAATTGACATGGAGAAGTGCATCAACAATCAATATTCTGAAAAGGACAAACGTCGAGACTATCGATATCTCGAAAGTCTGTCACTCTAATTCCTCATTGGTTCAGTCGACTGAGGCGGCTAATTTGAATTTTGAAATCATTCAAATTAAAAATTTTTAATGACGATTTTTATCATTACAGCGCACTGTAGCGCCCGTTTCTTCTCGTCACAAAAGAAAGAGGGCAATGCCTAACGTGGCCAATTTCTTTTACTGAATTGCTTCTTTAATTAAGTCAATGGAAAAGACAAAAACAACCGTAAATTAACAATTCAACAACAGTTGTGGACTCTGCATATTTTTTTCTTATAACTAGGTATAATTGCGCGCATTCCACGCATGTATTTCATAGTATGGAGTGAAAGGAAAAGAAGTATGGAATTTTAAGAAAATAATTTGGAAGTTCTTAGCAGCGAAATAGAACTAAATTGGTGCCTTATTACGTTTTCAATAAAATGGACGGAACTATCCGAGTACGCTATCTGTACGAATTTGTAAACCGTTCGAAATAATCCCGAACGTAAACGCATCGGAGAGAATACCAATATTTTCGAGTTTACGAAATCATTAACATAGTCGATTCCTGTAAGTTATCACAGTAATCATGGAACGATTTTCGCTCGGATCGAAACTCAGAACGAAAATCATGGAACGATCCAGTTCGGAACCAAAATTGGAACGAAAATCTCGAAGCTTTCCAGCTGGGAACGAAACCCGAAACGATAATAGTGGAATGTTTCTTACTTGAAATGAATACTGTGAAAAATTTCTCGCTTGGAACGATGTTATTGCGAAGTTGTTTTAAAGCAGACATAGACTGCCAGAAGAAAGATAAAATTTGATTGACATTTAGGTGCTAATTTTGAGAAGGTTTGTTTCCTCAAAATTACATTCTTTATTACTCTCCTCGAAATTCAACATTACATTTACTGAAAATTTCCGGTTTTTCTATTGACTTTCGACCAAAAGTGGTATGGAAATTTAAAGTTCTGTTCGATTTTTCCCCTAAATTTTGACATTTCGAAGAGAATATGGTCTAAAAGGGTCTAGCCAGATAGGCATGGTGAATCCGCTCCTCGTGAATGTGAAGGCGTCCATTTTCTCATATCTTTATGATCCAAAAAAAATAGAAGTCTTCAGATCTTCAGATCTCTCAAAAAACGTGTTCTTTACATATTTTTTTCTTACTTTGACAATCTTTTTTAAAATTAAAAAAAAATAGAAAAAATCGAAAAAACTAAAAATGCAGAAAACTTTTTTCCGTAATTTTTCTTTACTCAATTCAATTTCTTCATACGTTTCACGTCTTTCATTCCTTACAGACTTTAAGGAAATATTAAGATTACTGCCACATCTGTTTCACATGAAAAATTATTTGAATGGACTACATTAATTTCTCCTAAAATTTCAATGGGACATATCAATAACATTGAATTAAAGGTATCCAAATATTAGAAATTAGTTTTCGAGGATAGTCTTTATTGGCCATGGAGCGGAAAAAGATCCAGCCATATTGATTTTTTCAATATTGTAAATGACTCAGGGCAGACAGTCGAATGATATTCAATCATTGAAATATATGGCAACAGACTAAATGAGAATTGCTACGGATTGAGAAAAGAATTATCGGAGGTTTACATACTTCGATTTATTAATGCTCCGATATCGAAATTGATTGAATGACGTATAATATTTGAAGCTCCGTTTGTTCTGATTGTAAATCGGAGGGAATTGAATTTACCCGAAAAACGAGTGGAACAGTGTTCATCGCTTCTGGTGCCAGTGACATTTATTTTTGGAAACAAATGGTCTTCATTGACTTGACATCTCTATACATATTCTTCGAAGCAAAATCTGATTGTCTGAAAAGCCAAGTTGATGTCCTTTCACTCCCAAAACTTCGACTTTCTCGTTGCCAAATGCTTAACAGGACTTAAGTGGCAGTTGCACTCGCGCTTGAAGATCATTTATTTTTGGTCCCTAGGTTAGGAATATGCTGCTTTATTTCTTACATTCTCATGCAACAAATGACATTTATTTGTTCCAATAAATCACACTTCGGCCTTCTTAATCGATGATTACATTAAAAGATGACTAATTGGTTATTGACTTGTTTCGATTTAATTGCCTTTCAACAGTAACTAGTACTCACAACTCACCTATTGATATCGTTGATGATTGATATAGAATTAAGCATTCATTTCGCATTATCCATAATAGTTTATAGTCAAGTTCTTCTGAAATCACAATTGATCGATAATTCAAATGGCTTTATGGTTTTTTATCCCGTCATTGAATCGTTCGGATATTTCCTTGAAAGCCAATCAAATTAATTTACAATAAATTGTTTCGATCCCAGGAATGACGATCATTTATGTGTGTATCTAATCTTTCAACTGAATAACAAGTGGATGATCCGACACTGAGATATTTTTGGTCATTCAAATACCTTCAACTCGTTACACTTTTGATGGCCAAATTTAGATTAACTGGATCCCCATCGACCATCATGTACCATACTACTTACTGAGAAAACATGTTGCTCGAACAAAAATTAACCCGGAGAATCATCCAGTCACTGAATTCATGAATAACATGAATAAATACTCCATTATCATGCCATCTCGTACCATGTGGCTTAAGACAATCTATCGAACAGAGAAGTCGTCTAATAATTCAACTCACTTATCAACCGACGATCGGAGAAACTATTACTACATTCGAAAGAAACCACAGATAGCTACATTAAATTCTTAGAGATACATGCTATTTTTAAGTATGTCTTGCGACGTAATTTTCGGACGTTCACGGAACCCTCCGTCCATCAGCCCGCCCTCTGGCACCAAAACACCCCAAAATAAAATCAAAATCCAAATGTTAGGCGCCAGGTCATTTAACGGAATAACCACCGTCCAAATCCTTCTCCACTTTCAGCTTCAACTGCTCCAGTAGCTAATCACGTAGAGATTTAAAAATCGGAAGCTGAAAGGGGATGCAACTGGGATTTTCAGCAAAATAAATAGAATATAATATTGACGGAGAGAACAATATTTAATAAAAAAAATTAGTCTGGATACAATAAAAAAAAATTAATTAAATAAAATCCCCTTAAATCGAGTAAGCGTTACAAAACACACAATTTAATTAACATGACGAAATCACTGTCGTCTAGATAGAATCAAACAAATATTTCTGAAGTCAACCGAACAAAATAAAATAAATAAATAATGTTAAAATGGTCAAATGAGTCAGAAATAAATAATTAATAAACAGCCAAGTCACAAGATTGAGTCTTTTGATGTTAATGTCAGTAAAGAAAAAAATTAATTAGTTAAAACAACTGAGTTACGAAACTCGAGTTGTTAGAGTCGGAAAAGTCACAAGATTTAATCAGAAATGAATTCTGTAAATTGTCGAAATAATTCAGTGACTCGAAACAATAACGCGAAAATCGATAAATCTACGTGACCTCGAACAATCAAAATACACGAAATAAATACAAAACTAGAGACAGATAATTCAAAAGTCACGAGACCTTGAAACTACTCAAATCGAAATTGAATTCAATGGCGAGAAAAGAAATGAGTTTTGCGACACAAATTATCGAACAAAAGTCGCAAGAGTACCCAGAGAATTTTAGCTAACAAATTTAACACAAAATAAATCGAAATAATTATCAGAACGAGAGAAAGAGAGCAAAAAAAAAATAATCACTGATTAAAGTGGGCAGAAATTCACTGAGAAAATAATTAACTAACAGTTCCACAGGACTCGGGTGTACGTAACACCAATAAACAAATGAAAATCTCTGCCCACTATATAATAAAATATTAACAAAAGAGATAGAACGGCGACCACGCTCACCCAGATATCCAAAAGATCCTCCAAAGTACAAACGATTTACACGGCTGCGAAATGGCGTCCTTTTAACCCTCGAGCGTCCTTTTTTAAATAAATTTTGACACTAAGTCCTCACAGGTTAACCACCAAACGGAAAGTGATTTTCGTAGACACGTGAAAATTCGCAACAGGTAGGTGACGCGGTGATATTAGATAATGGTGGGGGTGACAACGTCATCATTTACCAATCCCACTCAAACAGACATGCGTAACAGAACAATTAATCATAACGCATGCGCTATTAATTTCAGCAATGCTTAAATCAGTTGATTAATTGTGATTAATCCATATTAACATATTCTAAACGCATCCTAAATAACTTAAAATACACCCTGCGTCCTCCGTTGCCCTGAGAGAAATAATTCTCTCCCATCAATATTGAATGAATATTTGATGATCTCCAACAGCCACGTGCACGAATCTCTGCGTCACTTCCGGTGTCAGGGTGACTGCATTGTAGCTCATCGATCGGCTACATCCAATGTCCAGTCAACCAACAAAATTTTAGTAGCCTGACGACATCTCTGGGCCTCCTGGAGATCCTTAGCGATGTCCTCAGATAGAGCGCAGTGGCGAGTAAATTAATTACAATAAAACAAATAAAATCAATCAAACATATTTTCTTTCTCTCTGCTCAAAACTCTCGCCACTGAAAGTGACTTCCCGTCTGGTGGAAGTCTCAGAAATTGCGAAACGGTCGAGAAATAGTAACGGGTAAAATACCACGTTACAGTCTATAATAATAAGATGCACTTGGAATCAAAATTAAAAATTTCGGAACGTGCAACAAGCCTCTCGGCTATTTT